GCTCGGCGAGCTCGGTCGGCGGGACAGTATCCCACTGTTTGGACCAGTCGGAGCGGACAAAGACGACGGCGCCTTTTGGAATCTTGGTCTTGAACTGCTTTTCCCAGCTCAAAATGTCGCCGACTTGGAGCTGGTAGCCCGCATCGGCCTTGACCTTGTCGACGATGTCGAGCACGACGAGCGGGCGCACGGCGAACGTCGGCGGGAGCTCGTCGATCGCCGGGTACGCTGGGTCCCAGTGCGCGGGTGGGTCCAATTGCGTGTCAATGTTGTCGGTATGGAGCTCGTACGCGTTGGCAGCGAACCCGTCGGTCGCCCATGCAAACGGAGCGCCCGACGACTTGTTTTTGGCCTGCAAAAACTCTTGGGGGTAGACGTCGCCGCTCCAAACCGGCGTCGTCGGCGTCAGCGTGTGCGTCAAATCAATGTACGTAGCGTCCGCGAGGCCGTCGGCAAACGCCGACCAGAGGCCTGGTGCGCTCGGTCGGCGCGCATGGCCTCCCAAGGCCGAGACGACCAGCGAGCTCAGCGTCAGCACCCGCATCGGCGCTCAAGCTCAAGAAAAAGCAAACTGCAACAAAATCGAAAAATTCGAACGCGATCCGAGTGATCGGTACGTTGAAGCTGTTCGTTGACGGGGCACGGACATGATCAGTAGTCTTTGAGGATCAGTGCTTGGGAACGCCTTGGGACGCTGTCGTCCTTGCCTATTAGGAGCTGCTCAGCGGGGATGGCAGTGAGCGCAGATGCCACACAAGACAACGAAGAGACGCTTCTTGGCATGCGGCAATCTGGTTCGTGGCTATCAGCTTACTATCAGTTCGCCCGATCATCTCCCACCACGGTGTAAGCCTACGGTATGCACGAACCAACCAAGCGAATGATCGGCGTTAGCGGGTGGACCACCGCGCTTGGTGCCATGAAGCGAAGGCATAGGTGGTAGAGAGTGCGTGGAGGCAGCGCCTCGACAAGCTGTACTGGTGTCGGGTCATCCAAGTTGGGCTTGAGCATGCGTTGAAACTTGAAGTTAAGCGGATTATCCGGATAACAGCGCTAGGATTTCAATCTTGTGATCGTCATGTGGCGCCGGCGAGTGGCGAGCGTGGTCCAGCGGCGGTGGTCGTCGACGTGCGCCGTCACGCGTGCCGATGGCCTCATCGCGCTCATCAAGCAAGCGCCAGGCCGCAACGACGACGACGATGCACGGGACTATCTCCGCGCCACCTCGGCCATCGACCTGCGTGGCACGGACGCGTACGGCTCAACGGCGCTGACGCTGGCCGCCCGTGGAGGCCACCTCGAGCTCTGCCGCGACCTTCTCGACGCACTGATACGCCACGCAGCACTGCACCGCGCGCGACGGTGCTGAACCAAGCCAATATGTTTGGATCGACGCCGCTCATGTGCGCGAGCGCGTCGGGCCACATCGACGTCTGCCACCTCCTGCTTGGTGCTGGCGTCGACGTCGACGTCCGAACGCGGTACGGCTCGACGGCGCTGAGCAAGGCAGCAGAAGCAGGCCACGCTGCGATCGTCGACGCGCTGCTCGCTGCCGGTGCCACGTCATCGCCCAACGCGCTCGGGAAAACACCGTTCGAGCTCGCGCAGGCCAAAGGCCATAAGCTGCCCCAGCTCGAGGAGGCACCAATAAATGACGAGCGAAGCAGCGCGCGCGTCACGAGCTGGCGAAGCGCGACCTTGATCGAGTGCCAACTGGCGTCGACGGGCGAGTTTGTCCTCGTCGAGAAGACGGACGCACGCCAACGCACGCCCATCAACGCGGCGCCCGAGCTGGTGTTTTCCGATGGTCGCTGGTGCATTGCGCACGTGCCTGCGTCGAACCGCCCCGTGAAGCAGCGCTGCTTGCACCCGCGACGACCGTTTGAAAACAAGTGTGTCGACTGCCCCGACAAGCGGTAACATGCGTCTATACCTTCCAGCGTGAATATGTGTGGAATCGTTGCTACCAAGTCGTCGCGTCAATTGATGACTCGTTGGCGATGGCCATGGGCGTGCTTAGTCCTTTACAAAAACCCACCTCCAATCAACCATGTGACCACCAACATCGTACTGGATTCTTGCCGTGCATTCGCACAATCGTGCTTCGCGCTGAGAACTCCGAGCGAAGACAGAAAGGGGCAGTTCTGTCCTCGCAGCAGCTGCAGCTCTATTCCAAGCCATATCGCTGTAAGACTCCACACGCCCGCGTCGAAGTTTTGATTTGTGATTTTGGATTGTCCTCTCGCACCCAGACTCTACTACCACAAGCACGACCACAAAGCAAAACTCTGTGTTCAAAACAGCTTCAACACACGTTATACAGCAGTACTAGGACGGGCACTCTTCTCTACACCGTCGCCGAAGCACGACGGCGGTATACCGTTGCGGCCCCGATCGCAGTTAGCGACCACCGTCGCGGGTAAGAGAATAATGCCGAAGAGATGCCACGACGGCGCCGGTTCGTCGCAGCCTTGGCTGCCGGCGAGAATCGTGCAACCAACTGTCGCGTCGTACTACACGGACATGAGCGTGCCCGTGATCGCGACGGACGAGATCGTCACAAACGCAAGGAAGAGAAAGGCGCCCCCGTCTCCTGGAGCTCGGCAACCGCGGCTTTTTGGTTGTGTAGAAAACGATAAACATGCAGCCAAGCAGCGTCTGACGCTGGAATCGCAGCGTCGACGAGGAGCTCAGTACCAAGGGTCGGCTCCCAGGATCTGTAGCGGGACCACCAAGGAGCGGCGGTAGAGACAGCAAAGAAGCCACTTGAGCTTATCATTACGCAATTGATGCAATCGGCGATCGCGATTACCAGATCGCCGCGCGCTCGGCTTCGGGCAAGTACATGCCGTCGCCTTCTTGGATGTTGAACGCGGTGTAAAATTCCGGGAGGTTCTTGAGCGGCGCAAAGCTGCGGAGGAAGCCCGGGCTGTGCACATCGACGGACAAGAGCTTGAGCGCCTGTTCGTCGCGGTCGGTTGACGCCCAGAACTGGCCCCACGCGAGGAAGAAGCGCTGCTCGGGCGTGTACCCGTCGATGAGTTCGTCCGGGCGGCCGTGCTTGGCCAAGTAGAGCTGCAGCGCTCGGTATGCGATCTTGACGCCGCCAATGTCGGCGATGTTCTCGCCCAGCGTCAATTGGCCGTTCACGGGCCGGCCGAGCACTTGGTACTTGCTAAACTGGTCGACGACGACTTGGGTGCGCGCATTGAACGCGGCAGCGTCCTCCTACACCCCCATAGATATCAATCTATCAAGATGGTATCAATCCTACCGGCGTCCACCATTCCGAGAGGTTGCCCGCGGCGTCAAAGAGCCGACCTTGGTCGTCAAAGCCGTGCGTCATCTCGTGGCCAATCACGGCACCGATCGCGCCAAAGTTCATGGCCATGTCGCGGTCCAGCTACCCAGGGCATCGACATCTATCAAGGTTTCAAGACCTCCTAGTATCAACATACCGAAAACGACGGCGACTGGAGGATTGCGGCGGGGAAGACGATCTCGTTCGCCATCGGGTTGTAGTACGCGTTGACCATCTGCGGCGGCATCTCCCACTTGTGCTTTTGCACGGGCTGGTCCACGCGGCGCACAATGGTTTCCGCAAACATGAAGCGCTGCATCGAGAGCACGACCTCGACGTAGCTGCCGTCGACACGCAGCGCCGAAAAGTCGGTCCAGAGATCGGGATACCCGATCTTGGTGACGATCGCATCGAGCTTCTCCAGCGACTTGGCCTTGGTCGCCGGCGTCATCCACGCCAAGTCCTGGAGTGACAGCGCCAACGCCTCCTGGAGGCAGCCGACAAGCTCGA